ATTTATGCCTGTAGCCTATCCGAATAAGCGTAATCACGTGTACAGATATGGAAAATGTATATAACTGCACTAGCGGAATAATAAAGGAATCCGACTGTGCATCGTATCTGTGTGTGTGTGAGAGTTGTTCCTGTCCTTGCACGGATGCTGAAACTCGGCACACGGGGACCGTCACCATGGGAGCACCAGGTGCCCACGCTACACAGTCTGTAACATCACAGACCAAAGGGGTTTGCATGCCCCAGGTCCCACCCTGAAGCCTGTGCTCCGCCGTTTCCCTGGCTGCGCATCCACAGCAAGCAGAAAACCTCATTTTGCCGGTCCACGCTTCCCTTTGCAGTGCTTCAGTCGTCCCACAACCTGGGACTTCCAAGCCTTTTGCTGCGATTGGAGAGCAGCACCCAGGGCTTCAGCGTCCCCAGCAGCACTTCGGGGCCGTGGAGCTGCCTTTCCCTCTCCGTCCTTGCCGGCCCCACAGCCGGCTCCCTGCGATTCCTCCCTGCTTTCTACCAGCTCCGCTCGTGGAAAATTCAGAATGTGGCGTTGGATAAGAAAAATCACAACCAAGGGCAGAGCGATGCTGGGAAGGCACCAGAGCCTGAGGGTTTCATCGGGGCCGGGGGAAGCTCCTGGGGGCTTCTCCTGCTGTTCCTGCACGATCGACAGCTCCGTGGGATAATACCGACAGCCTCTCCGGGGATGCGGTTGGCACTCTGTCTCGGTAGGGCTGGCTGGGTCATCCAGCAGCTCCCTGCTCTCTGGTTTGCTTCTCTTCACCCTCAGCAGAAATAGAGCCAAACCTCCAGTTCAGAAGAAAGGTAGAGCTGCAGGGCAGGACAATATTTTTCCAGAAACAACGCCGCTCAAGAGCCAAGTTTCCCTTCCTTTGGACTAGTCCAACCTCAAAATACAGCCCATATTGTCTGTCCTTTCTGTATTCCTTCATGATGGACCAATTCTCAACTGTTTAGCAAAGAACAAGTCAGTAAATCAAACTATTGAGGAGGGAATCTGATTTAGTAGAGTCTGTGTCTGTCACACTCCTTGCAGAAGCATTTCTTATACTAAAGGGACTGTTTTCACCCAAACAACGCCCGACTGTCAGACTTGCTCTGAGCGAGGGTGACTTCATTGTCTGGATGGACCTTTAAGCTGTGGCTGAGCAGAACGATGATCGGAGATGGATGAGATCGTTCGTAACATCTGAATCCAATGAATCTCCATCTTCTGGGAGAAAGAGAAGACAAGTGACTTTCTATGCAATTTTCATCTTAACCCATCTTCCCTGATTTAATAGGTACATTTAGCACGATTGTGATGGAGAAATTACTCCTTCAGCTGCAGATTTGGGGTCTCATTAAAACTACTTGTATTATTTTAAGGGCCAAATTTTGATCTGCGCAAGCAGCGTAAATCCTGCCTGATATCAGCAATGATTTCACTGTTTCTCTGGGTCCAGTTCAATGGTGGCTGCAGGGGATGGTCAGAGCTGGGCTGGCTCAGATCCGAGCTCACCTGCCTGGGAGCGTCCCATCGACGTCAAAGAAAATCTCTGGGGTAAGCTACAGAATCAGGCCCCTATTTTCATGCAAATGTAATACATTCATGTTGCTTCATGCCTATTTATAACAAATCCAGAACTTAATTCTACTTAACCCGTCTTCGGTGTTTGACACACGAAATCTGAGTCAGAGGACTATATATGGAACTGTCAAAACTTTCTTCTTTCCCTCCTCTAAAAGCCTGGATTAAATCATAACCAAACTCCCGTCAGCTCCAGCAGCGGCTCTGGGAGGAGCAGGAAGATGCTGGCAACCGCTGCAGCAGCTGGTGATGGGGAGAGGTCTTCTCAGCCCACGGTCCGACCGCAAAACCTTAGGGAAGAGGTCTTCGATTCAGACACATGCTAGGTCCATCTTTGCTGAAATGTCGTCCCATGGACCCGGAGTGATATCTTGGCCTCATGGTGCCAACCTTGCAAAGGCTTTGCTTGGGAATGACCTCCCATGATCACATTCTGTACCCAGGTTTTTATTTCTTTCCTCCAAAGAATCTTCAAATGTGCATGAACCATACCAGCCTTCAGTGGACAAAACCAGTTCTGGTCCTACAAGCATTGCAAACACATTGAGAGTTGTAGACCCACAGCCTTTAGCAAGCAGCCCGAGTTTTGCTCCGCGTGTCTCTTACAGGAAAGGTTTATTTCAAAACACGCGCTGTCTAGTCTTGCGATGCCGAGCCATTCTCCCCCTGCACAACACCACTTCTTCTTGCCTGCTCTTCCTCGGCAAGCACCCTTCCAGCAGAGCAGGCTCTCACGCCCAGCACACTTAAAAACTCCATGAAATGAGAGCCAAATACGCCAGACACTCTATGAGCATGCAGCAGGACATTCTTTCACAGTGAAAATCTACCGTGTAAAAACGACCAGCGCATACCCAGCATTAGAGACAGCAAAATATCACGAAAGTAGCTGGTTTCCACCTCTGCGTATGTTTTTCCTGACAGCCTGCGAGTGCAGCAGCAATGGCCTCTGGGTAGCAGGACGGGATGGAGACTTCTCTCGACGGGCACGTGGCTCCAAGTTTGAAAAGTAATTGGTGTTAAATAAGAGGAGAGAGGAGGCTGCTCGCTGCCTCCTCGATTGCAGCGAGGAGGAATTACAGCTGTAATTCTTCTTCACCCAGAGAGGAAATCATCATCATCATTTCCTGCAGATGGGTTTCTTCTGCATTGCTGACATCAAGCAAAAACGGATTTCCAGCAGTGAACGGACTCCTTCGTGGCGTTACTTGGTATTTTCTAAAGGGTCATTTTAGGACCAAGAACCCCAGGCCTTGAATTTGAGAAAGAAAAACTCTTTTCCACCTCAGGCTCAGCCTGACAGCGTGGATTTGCTCCATCCCTCTGTGTGAGCTCACAGAGGCAGCTGCCTGCGGCAGGCACACTGTGCTGCATT